CGTATATAAGCGGTCTGCAGGCACCCAAAGCGACACGAACTGCAGCGCGGCAGTTCGTCATGCCTAAGCCCGTTGGTCTTAGGCTGGGGGTGAAGGTAAGGGCTTGAGTGCCGTGCATGCACAAGGTATGCCCCATCTTGCGCCCTGCATTTTGTGGGTACTGGGACCCAGCACTTTAGCCCGAAGCGAGGACCAAAGCAAGCCACGCAGGAATCGAGGAGCAAAGTAAGGGAGGTCAAAGGCGAGGTCAAAGGTGCCCGGAACCTACCCTATCGCCGACTTGCTGTCCTTTTGCGGTCCTTTCGTCCTCATGCTCCCTTTTTACGGAGCAAAAGAAGCCCAAACATGGATTGCTATGCGCTGCTTTGCAAGAGTGGCCGTGGCAGAGATCGTGCTGAGACTTCCGACACTTCTCTGTGTGTGTGTGTGTGCGTGTTTGTTCACCCAGGCTGCCTGAGGATCCAACAGAAATACGCAGCCCTGCAGCGTATTTCACTCAACAAAGCCAGCAACAGCACGCGAAGCCACTTTCGGCGCTGCTGACTCTCTTGCTTGGATAGATAATACACGCCTTTGGGGTTGTCGGTTGAGGGACCGCTCCCGGACCTGGCTGCGCACACCCGCTCGCCCGTGGCTTGCTCGCTTCGGGCTGGTTCAGCTCGCGAGCACCTGGTCTACGAGTGGGAAGTGCCCGGTCGACGTCTGGCGTTCGCGAAGCGATCACATGTCACAATTCTTAAAAGACCTGCCTTACACAATGATGGTCCTGCATTTTGGAACGGATTCCATGTGAATGATTAAACATGTTCCAACATGCGAGAGACTTGAGGTAAGCCTGAATCCTAAGCCTGAAGACACACGCCACATGGGTACCGTGAGACATGCCTTGAATGGCCAGTTCACTGCACTCTGCGCTCAAAAGCAGGCCCAACATCGCGCGGCTGAGAGTTTTGGAGCTCAAAGTGTCGCAAGGCACGTCCACGACTGCACAATGCATCACTGATTCGGACGTCACGGTGCTTTTCTCAGCATTTATGGGAAGCTTCGGGGAAAACACGTGCTCTCATGATGAAGCATGTATCGGAAGCTACATGCATCCTGATGGACTACTGCGCTTGCTGCAAAAGTTATCAAGCGGCATCGAAGAAGGCGCAATCCTTGCGACAGTAAACCCGCAAGGGTGCCCTGGCACGGAAGGTCGAGAAAGCTTGAGGACCCCAAATCAAAGCTAGTGGTGCAGGGCTCAAACTAATCGCAACGGGCCGGTAGGCGAAGGGGAACTCGACTGCACCCTTGCCAAAATTATGTGAGTAGCTGCAAGAAGACACTTCTTGAGAATGGTCCTCCGTAAGCCGGGGAGCTCACATACATATATTGCACTTTTTGAAACAACCGCATTTGGCATGGAAGGCTAAGGCTGGCACAAGTCGGCGGACCTCATGCGGATCTTTTCGTGAGGACTGCAAACGGTTCGGACCAACTCGCAGTCAGGACAGGATATTGCGGCCTTTGAAGTTGTGCAGCCGTCACAACTTTGAGCCCAAGTCAGCCTCAGTGTTCTGCAACGATGGCTTTTGCGAGAGCCCTGTCACAAGCGTAGCTCCATGAGCACCCTGGACGGTGGGGAAAGAAGCTACACCCTCCCATTTGCACTTGCTGCTCAAGTGCAAATGGGAGCTAGCTGCATTCAAATGCCGAAAATGAAGCCTCTCAGATCTGAGTTTTGGTCGGAGGCCTCTCGGATGTGCGATCTGTCGAGTGCTGTCTCTGATTTGCACAGCTTGAGCTCACTGCCAGCATGAGCAAACTGTTCCAAAGATACAACATGGGGATGAGTATGATGAATCAAACGATGCGATTTCGAGCGCAAGCCCGGGGTTCTTGAGTTCTGAAAGCTCAGACAGGGGCATCGCAGGCCACTTGGGGTTGGAGCACACAGCACCCAGTCGAGGTGTGGAGCTCAAACCCACGAAGCACACAGCCCGCGCTCACACGGTGCCCGCCACAGGAAACCTCCAAAATTTGAAACCGCCCCTCATCAAGACTTGACGGCTCCACGATGTTTCAAGCAACGCTCACAAAGTCCAGCGCCAATCCTGGATGTGCTACATGCAGCGAGCTTGCCACAAGGGGCGAGCTCGCCCCAAAGTGCACGGAGACACGCTGAGTTTGCTGCAGCCAAAGCTGGCGCACAGTTCTCGAAACTCAAAGTTGCCGCTGTGGCCGAAGGGACGGAGACGCGAAACCTGAAAGAAACGAAGAACGCCGCTTCGCAAAGCATTCTGTTTGGCAAGCTGCTGGGCAATCACTTGGGTTCAATCGTGCAAGCAAGCCTGCATGCAAAGCCTTGTGGCAGCCAAGGAAAGCCATTCGAGGGTTCTCACCACTGCCAATCCAGCGGAGGGCCAAGGCTTGCTTTTGCATGACCTGCTTGCAAGCAATGGGCACTGCGGCAAACAAACAGCTGATTGCAAGCCACCTGCGCAGCCGGCAGATGTAA